CTACACAATACCTTATTCAGAATAACAGCCATTTCATTCCAGATCAAAGCAGCTGACTATCTTATCCCCACAGAATTAAGTTTGCTGACCCCCTTCAGAATTTAACTTCAATTAGGGGGTAGGAGGTGTGGGTATTAAATGAAAAAGGTCATTATGTAAATTCAATTAGGGAGTAGGGGGTGTGGGTATTAAATGAAAAAGGTCATTATGTAAGTTCAATTAGGGAGTAGGGGGTGTGGGTCTTAAATGAAAAAGGTCATTATGTAAGTTCAATTAGGGGGTAGGGGGTGTGGGTATTAAAGGAAATAGGTCGTTATTCTAAGAGATACTGGCTAGTTGCACAAACTTCATTAAAATCCAAGGGTAAACAAAGGTGTCATATCATGATCCATGTTAATGATTTCTTGTTTCGATAAAGAAAACTACACAAGAGTTATGTTCCTGATGTGATTACCACATTGTAAACCGTGATACAAAAAGATTTTCAGTCCTAATATTAATGAAATCAATTTGATATTTTTATCCCCATTTTTCAGATTATAAGTAATCTGAGCTGATGGAAAAGTAAAGTTGATCTGCTTTGAAAAAAAGAAAAAAATAGACCAAAACCCATTTTTAGTGATATGTATAAATTATAAATGCTGCAGTATTGACCTAGTTTGCCATACATTCATTTCACTGGTCAGAGATCTATGCAATATTTGTCATGTCAGGTCTGTCTGAGAGTTTCAAAGGCTTGCCAATGGCTTATTGCCATTGTAAATACCCATACAGGTCTGCCGCTCATGTTATATCTATCACTTATTGACTGCAATGTTTCTCACTGTCCTAGGTACTGGCTATAAGAACACACCAATTCAGTTTAGAAATTGACCGTGGCCTTTTAGAGCAACCTAAGGATGAGTCTGGAAAAGAGCACAAGGTACATATTGGTTCTGGTGTTTTTGGCTGTTGCAGCAAGATGTTTTACAGGGGTGTTACTGTTACTGTGAGAGCATTTCACTCTGCCACAGAAGAGGAAGTTAAGAGGGAGGCAAGAGTCATGTCTAACTTAAAACACCATAGTTTCCCTTTTCTACAGATAATTATTTGTTTCAGTTGTTTGGTGGAAAACCTGTAAACTAGCTTCTAGCTAAGTGTTTCTCCACGTTAAAAACTGTGTATTATTTTATTATTTTTTTTAAGAGCATATTTTTTTTCCATTTTATGCCAGGTGGAGCTACTGGTTTATTTTTCAATGCATGATCATTAAGTCATTGATTTCTGTGGATACACTTTATTATTCTTGTCATATCCGCATCTTGCCAATCTTTGATCGTCTTTTCCATAACAGGAGCAGTACAAGTTCTGTTACGAAATGATACGATTGTTTGTGGACTCCTTCAGCGATTATACGAACTTCAAGTGACGCGGAAACACTGAGAATGTCTTTTCAAACAAGACACAAGTGTCACCAAAAGTATTGCACATTACGGGAGGCCTCTTGTCTCGGAATTGGAAGAGCCCTTTGACATTATTTATGGAAAAGATGAAATGCCCTCTTTGCTGGAGAAGCGAGCACCATTTCTCATCGGATAGAGAGAAAAGACAACACAACGAATGTATATAGTGATCTTCTGAGGCTCAATAAATGAAACGGAAAAAAGAACAGCACAGAAAAAGAACTTCATCCAATGACGAAGTGAAATTCACCAGCTGTTGGCAGTGGCTTTATGACGTCAAGAGGTGCTTTTCAACTGCACATAAAAGGAAAGGAACGATTGATTTGATTACGGTCTTAATTTTGTTTATGTAACAATGTTCAATTTCCTTGGGAATTTTCTTCGGGAAAGTGATGTAACTGTTGATATATCTTAAAACTGTTGCTGAATTTTTGCTCTAACATTGCTCCAGATGCATAACTGTCGAACCACTCTCTGCAATAGGAACTGGATCTCACTAGATTTGTTCATGGTTTTATTAGGGTTTCATTCCTTTATACGTGCTCGGCATATCCCGATAGAAAGAGTCATCCTGTGTCAATTTTTGGAATGTCCTGATGGCGTGCTAAGGGATATTTTTTTATAGAGCTGAAATATTTTGTATAGCTTCAAACAAGGCATGCACGAAAATCTTCGTAACTTTCATGCTTTTCTTCTACCAGCTGTAGATAGAGTTTCACTCGAAAACAACAAAAAGTTATTTTATAACACTAGTTTCTTTTGTAGCAAGGACATTTTTTTAACGATCGTAAAATTTACAAGATGCAAACGTCACAATTAAGGAAGTATAGAATACTTTTGTTGACAGAATTTGTAGCATATTATAGTGCACAAGGTATTTTTACAGAATGTAGAAACTGTGGAGGCAAGAGTCATGTCTAACTTAAAACACCCTATTTTCCCTCTTCTACAGAGAATTTGCACACTGTCAACGCCTTATGTTTTATTAACATCATATTATAACATTTCAGATCAGCCATGCATGGTGTCCTCTTTACTGAAGAGCAAAAGTCTTCATTGGGAATATAGATAACATAAATCATAATTTAGAGAGAAATAATATTATTGAACCTTGTGTTAATCCAACAAGCACAAACATGCTATTAGGCCATAACCCCATTTGAATTTTTAGGGTCAAACAGTTAATTTACAAGGCTGTAGCCAGAATGAGTGAACCCTGCCCCTCTTGTGTCTGCATGGTTTATTTCGTTAGGGGTAATTTTTTTTTGTACCAGAGTGTCACCTGTTTTGTTTTGTTTTCTATTTGGGGTTGTGTTTTCCATTCATTTCCCATAAAATATCAGTGCGCTGTGTTAGAATACATGCCTGGATATTCCGAGCACCCACACTTAAGTTATTTAACAGTTGTCTCAGATTAGAATACACCACAATGTACTACTGCTCACCTCCAAATTTCCTTTGTGGTAAATACCTAAAATGATTATTGTTTCGTTCTAGTTACGCCTATCTAAAAACCTGTATATAATATGATTCACTATGAGAAATAAATCAGTTGTTACTCCTAGCATTGGTTGATGTGTCATTTTGTGTAACTACTATGGCGACATCGAACTCTTGGAACCTAACACACTGATTGTGTATTTTACTTAAAAACTTAATTCTTGGGAGTTGATGAATTATTATTGTTAATGGGAGCAGTAATGATGAGTGTGACTTCTATTTTTTATGTTAGGGACTGTGTAATTTGAGCACCAGCAAATGGGGTGGGGTTCATATCTTTTTGTGCACCTGAAAATGGGGGCACTGCAGAAAATTGTGCAACCATTTCTGAAGTGCCATATATTTTTGTGCATTCCAATTTCCATTCCACAGAAAAGAAACAACACTGAAGGAATCAACAACAAGTCAAATTTGATTAATTATTATTAAAATGATGGCATAACAAACAAACATAACATGGTGTATAGCAGTCCTCTCAAATTGGAATAGCAGTTATCGATAAATACTTGAAGCATCACAGGCTTCACACTGCATCAAACAAGCATGCAAAGCTAAAGGAGGTGCGAAGGCACATTATTCAACAACGGATACAGGGTTATACCCAAGATGAGGGAAGTCCACTTTGCAGTAGTGAAAGTGAAGAGGAATACTTATCTTCTGATGATGAAAGCGTTCAAACAGACTATGTCCTTGCCCAGATTGACTCGAGTCCAGAGGATGATGATGAGGAGGAAGGGGATGATATTCAGATCAGAGTGACAACTACTAGAGCTGGGAGGAGGGCTTTAAATAATTCGGTGAGTTTTATTTAAGTTGTCATTAGTAAAACTGTTTCTGTGGCTGAAGGTGGGTCATCTTATTTCATGTACAGACTCGAAGGGGGGCCACATTATGTTATGCAGTGGCAAGAACAGGCCCATGGGAAATTATGTAGAGAAAAATTAGAATGCACCAGCCCACCTCCACCTCTAATAAATGACCGGTCCCTTATCAGACTTCTGATAACAGAAAAAACAGTGATGGCTGAAGCAAGCCCAATACAGCAGAAATCGCCAAAATGCACAACAGACACACAAGGAATGAGTAATATGTATTAATATAACATTGTAAAATGTTCATATTTCGTGATATTTAGTGTTTTAAATGGACCATATTTTGTTCCCCATACTACTCCTTGTAACGCATTCAAATTCTCAACGGTTGCTCGCGTGACTTAACACCGCGTCACACAACGCATGACGCTTTTATGAAATAAGCCGAGACCTGAGCTTGAGACGCCTATCTTTATACCAGACAAGTGATAATGAGAGGGGGGGGGTTTATTGTTCATTGCGTTTTGCGGATTTTCCGTTTTCAGCATTTGGTTTTCGGTTTTCGTCAAACATTTTGACGGGTACTCGGATTTGGTATCTGATGTGCTTTTTCGGTTTTTGATATTGGGGTTCCGGTTTCTCTTCGATTTGAACAGCAGTTATACGCCTCTGCTGATCTTGAATAGCCGCGAAACCTATGTCGCTCCACTTGTAACCACAGTATCAGATCGATTAGGATTTTGACAACTGAAATGTGCAAAACTATCGGTATAGACGGTTTTGCATACGGTTTTCGGTTTCGATCGAATTTTTTTGCGCTTTTGCGGTTTCTAATAGACCCCAATGCCCCCCTCGATAACTTACATAGCAATTCTATTTCTAGAATCGTTTCCGTCTCACCGCTTCTGAACTGTCTAAAGGGATTATAAAAGTAAGCGTGCGCAGCAACGCACGAAAGCTATTTTAAACCTTGGTTTCAGAAGGTTACGATTACTCTGTATGCTCACTGGGAAGCGCCGGCTCTGGGGAGTTTGACTGCTTCTTAGCTTCGTCGTTCCGCAGAAGTCTGAGTTAGCATTGAATGGGAAAACATCAGTCTACGTGATTGTATATCGTTCAGGGTGCGTCGTTTGTTTAAGGCCACAATGGATCACATTCTATGGACCATGCTCTTTACGGTTTGTGTGATCGCGACAAGCTCACAAGGTAAACAGATTTCTTTCCTTGCCTATTTTATCACGAGTTTAGAAATATAAAACCTTTTCATGTTTGCTTTCTCTCGCGCTGTTTCTTTTTTTTAGTTGTGTAATAAGATTTACTCAAAGTTTATGATTTCCAGCACTTCCTTGATGTAAGTTATGGCGGAGAGAGTTACACAAACAGATGAATAACGCATAAACCTGTTTATGTTCCAGAAACGCAGTCATGTATAAACCACTACATTTACTTATGACAAAATATATTCAGCTTTTACTTATCATTACACACTCTGCCTCATTTTCTGATTCTTTTCCGTCTTTTCCGGCTATCACGGTCTAAGTGGATGCGGAGGAACAGTAATAATTTATTCACTGCTTTCAAACCGTTTTGTATGCTACTGTTTTTAGCTGCTGTAAAATCCCTCACTTTGCCGGCGGTCTATCGTTTCTATGATAAAGGTTATCTACAAGTATTTCGCGAACTATAGTAATGGTCATAGGACTACCTATTGAACACTGGCTAAAACCTTTTTGGAATACCAAAAAAAAAAATCCGTGGAATGAACTAACTAGTACTAAGTTAGGCAATCATTCTTTAACTAGTTGAGCACGCTTATCATACTCAAGAAGTAAAAACTGACCAATCATCAATCCGTAGTGTGACAGCTCATCAAAAACAAACTCATTCAGTACGCAGTTGGTATGGATTTAAACTCCAGTTACCAAGATTCATCTCCATTTGTCTGCATTTGTAAAATCCGCGAGTTTCGCAACGAAAGACAATTTCTGCAGTCTTTCGTTTGACTAAACTCAGTTCAGTTACCACACTTGTGTAAGCGTTTACGACAAATGATCGACAAGTTTATCACGGTTTTGTTTATCTAGTCGGTTTTGTTTATCTAGTCGAGTTTGTCAAGGTTTCACCCGCGACAAATTTTGTTGTCGGCAGTGTGTTTGAAAATTTGTCCGCTTCGACCAAAATTTGTCGAGTCACGACTAACCATTCGCACTTGTAAAGTGCTGGTAACGACAGAAAATTTGTCTAAACTTGACCCCTATCTGCGTGAACTCGGGCTTTCAATATCGCACATCTGGAGTTATCTTTCGGGGACTGCCATATTGCCATCGTTAATGTCGTCACGCAATCTCATCATTGCCGGTCACAAATAAGTCTACTTGTGTTTATTTTTGTCTGCTGGAGTGTAATGAATGTTGTTATGGTATTAGACAACAATCCAAATAATATATTACTATATAAAAGTAAGTTCCTGTAGATGCCAAAGGTTGAAATTCAAGGACTTTTCAATGACTTTGAAGGCCAAGTTTTAAAAAATTGAAGGGACCACTTTTGGAAAGGTTTGCATAAGCAATTTTAAAATTACTTAAAATTATTTAAAATTATTTCTCAGCTTTTCCATGAAAGTACTGAAATTTTCAACTTGAAAATTGCTAAAGAAAACCCATTGCAAAAATCAAGCCTTAGTCCTCAAATTCAATTATTTTTAAGGCCTTGAGTTTTTATTTTTTAAATTCAAGCATCGTCGAGGAATTTCAAGGCTCTTACAAACCCTGATTAGGTAATATATTTGTCTTTAACTGCAAGAAGGGAATTTTTTCTCCATCATTGGTACCAAGTCATAGTTTGTTGCCAAATGTTCACCCAAGGAGAGTTGTCAGAGATCAGTAGATTGAAGCAATATTACTGTTCAATACTTCATATTGTTTCTAATAGAAAAATCTCTGAATATTTAATACTGCTGATGGGTACAACAAGAGAAGGAGTGCTATTTACAGTTTTAGTATATTCCGTTAGAGGCATTTGACTTTCATTACATACCAAGAGGGAATACACATATTTTGACCTTTTTGTGGGTATAAAAATACATGTCTTTCAAAAATCTGAAAACCACATCAAAAACATTGTGCATTCAACTATTATTTCTAACAAGATTTTCCAAGGATTGATTTGCTGTCAACTGAATCAGACATTATTCCTTCACTGTAATCACTTTTAAGATCTAAACTTACTTCAGTTCCACAAACATCAGTTTTTGGCCAATCATCTGACAGTAAATACTTGTTCAAAGATGAATTTTCATAATCTTTTACCATACTGAATAACATTAGATAAGGTGTTTGNGATCCTTCTATTGTAGCTTCTTGATGAATAGTCTCACTGTAACTTTCACTGTATTCAAGTTCATAGTCAGTCTCAAACACATTTAAAAGTGTGGGTAATTCTGTCTGTATTAAAAATGACTGTCTGGCTAACTGAGAAAAACTTGAATGCAACTGATTTCCAATATTAATTATTGACACCAGATCATTAGCAGAATTGATTCCTTGTTTGTTTTTGTAAATCAAAGAGCATAAACTCATTGCAACACATTGTTGTCCTGAATTTTGTCCAAATACCAACTCATTAGCTTGGCTATATGGTGCCGTTATTGTTTTGCTAGGGTCAATGTACATTGGAGTAGGACCAGGGTTTTTCTCTATATCTGAACTCAGTTGAAATTTACAATAGTTTGATACGTGTTTCTGACTCTTACAAAGACGCATGGGTCTATTACAAGAAAACATAATCTGATAAATACCGACCTGCTCTATACTTCAATTGAATTATCCTTTGACATACCCTCAAGGAACAATTCAACAAATACTTCTTTTCATGTTGTGTAACTTTATTTAATCTCACCCTCTTAGTATTAAGCTTACAAACATTGCTTGTAACTCTTCTAACCTTCACATAACGACGTAACCAAGAGGGGACGAATGGGCTCATAAACAAATTCCTTCAGTTTTCTGCCCTTTCTTTTGAGATGTTTCAGAGAAGCTTCTTGTATTCTACTGGGTTCTCGACCACGTCTAAATACACGGCTGTGTTTACATGTAAACATAKTACGAGATAGCTCGTTTGATATAGCAGATTTCGCTTGATAGTCCTCGATAAAAGGTTCACTCGTAAAGGATCGCTCGTAAATTGATCTCTCGTAAAGTTCGCGGACCGACCCGTTCCCAAAACGCTCCACAAGTTTTAGTGTGGGTCCACTGATAACGGTCGAATTTCCTTCGCGTACGTCCACGAAGGCAGCCATTGCTTTAAACCATGCCCTCAAGAGTTCATTCTACGGATGCGCGTACACTTCACGCATGCGCTGTAGTGGAACTGCGTTTTGTGAGTGAACGCGAAAAAAACACAAAGCCGAATTTATACCTCGGGCGTTTCCTTCGGAAAGCCCGATTAAAAAAAAAAAAAAAAAAAAAACCAAGCCGAATTTATAACACATCACGGCTGCGGGGAGACTACGCGTTTCTTTTTCCTTTCACTATACGTAAATATGATTTAATATATTTTCAACGTTTAGAAGTATTTTTTTGTGCGTATTTGTCAAGTATAATATCTTTCTCAAAGACAAACAAATACGCAGGCACTGTATTTTAGCATGTAATTTGAAACCAAATTTCGAGGTCAAATTCGTTGTACGTAGTAGTTTGAAGCCTCTCAAAGATTTGTATGGCCACTTTGATCCTTCTTCAATAGTTCTGACGAAACGCGCTCAAACGCGCTCCAACGGTACAAATGTTTTATGCATTTTAAGAGTAGTGGTTGAGACCCTTTTGTGGAGCCATAGTGGAGAGAAATTAAAAGTCCCATTGTTGTGTTTAGTGTGTTGTGTTACTTAGCGTTACAACTGCAAGAACATTTATCAATCGTGTCGTAAATCTTCTTTCCTAAGTGAAGGAAAATTAACTAATCGCGAGTGTTGTGTGGTAAATCTTCTATCTTGATCATTGAATGAAGGACAGTTTAATTAGAGCAATGAAAAGAGTCACTTGATCTATGACAACCTGTACATTGCGTGAGGCGAAACGCCAGAAAGCCGGAAAGCAAAAGGCAGTCGACCGTTGAAAGGTGTTGATAGGCCTGTGCGTCTACGACCATTCGCCAGCGCTTTTAAAACTTCTACTCTTAAAGTTTAGCACTTATAAGGATATCTCTTGATGAATTTCCTTTGCGATATGATAATAAGGGTCAGTTTTGAGGTCTCATAATACCCCATCTGTATGTCAAAAGGCAGTCGACCGTTGAAAGGTGTTGATAAGCCTATGCGTCTACTACCATTCGCTAGCGCTTTTAAAACTTCTACCCTCAAGGTTTAGCACTTATAAAGATATCTCTTGATGACTTTCCTTTGCGATGTGATAATAAGGGTCAGTTTTGAGCTGTCAATACCCCATCTGTAAGTTCATGAGATTGTGTTACAAAAGGCAATATTTTCTTCTGTGTGCGCGCTATTTTCTTTGTTTCAGAGTATACTTCTCTCCTTTTACAAATCCCGTATTTACGCTCGGTTGAAAAAAATCTCGTCTATTACAAGATCTGTCTCTCTGATATGCGTTTGCATGTCAAGGGTCAATTAACAGTTGAATAACTCGCGACTAGGACTATAATTACAGACTTGGAAATTATTCATCCCGCCCTCGGAGATTCTTAGGCAGATTGCAGTTTTGAATCTTTCTAAATAACGTCAGTTGCCTCCAAAGAACGAACTCGTCACGGAGGAACGACAGAGTCGCACAGTCCCGTCAAACGTTTTATCTTTCGAAGGAATGACAACAGAGAATGAATCCCATTTACAATCCACGTATATTCACGCCGTATCAACAACAGCAAATACAACTCTTGGAGGAAGGTCGCTTGATTACAGACAACGTGGAAATAGCTAATATCTTCAACAAACATTTTATAGATAGTGCTGCTGCTCATATTCCTATGGTATCCGAACATGCTCTTGTTAATCACCTTAGTGTCAATGAAATTAGTCATAGATGTAATCAACTGCAATTTTCCTTCCACCAAGTTGAAGCGGCTACGTAAAGAAACTGATAGATTCTCTGAATCCTAAAAAGGCCACTGGTCCGAATAAAATATCACCAAGGGTTATTACTGTTTCCTCTGAGGCATTGGCAGTACCACTTACCAACCTTATAAATCACTGCATAACCATCCACGCTTGGCCAAGTTTGTGGAAACGCAGCAATG